AAGGAAGGCTACTTCTGTACAGAAGGACATCAGATAGCTGGAACGCTGCACGCGGAGCTGGAAGGAGAGGTTTGTTTTTTCCTACGCGGTGCCAGAAACTTGGTTTATAAATCTCAAGTGTTCCTCATCTCTAAAGTTACAATCTTGACTTTATTTTCTTCCTTTTTTGGTAGTCCAATAGTTGTGGATACTGTGATTGTTTTGACTTTTTCCTGATTGGTCCGACACTCCCGATTGCCCTCTCTAGTTCTTAGTCTGCCGTTCTTGGGAAAAATTACCCTCCTTTAGAAACATGTTGGGGAAGGTAGGTTGAGCAGAAGCCTCCGTAATTCAAAAATAACTGAAGAGGTGATGATGAACTGGATGTTCTGTGAAGCGGAAAGATCCTGGTGGTAGGCTGCAGGGCATTTTAAGTTGCTGAAATCTGTGTGACAGTTCAGTACGTTCAGATATCACAATGATGAGCAACCCTGTAAAAAACGGAGGTAGAAGAACAGAGAAGTTTGGTTAAATTGTGCAACTGGAATTCTTTGCAGTGGAAATCCACCTCTAGCTCTGCCAAAGAGAAGTTAAGTGACAATGGGCAAGTCAGTTAATCCTCCCTGCTGGGAGTCACGCTGTGAAATGGGCCTGATGTTCCTCTACCACGCAATGCATTATGAGGTCTGGTTAATAAAGATGTGTGTGCTGCTGGATATTACGGTGGTGTGTCATGGAAAGCGTATAAAAATAGGTATAAATACAAGCCTGTTGCAGGTTGGCATTTGTTTACTTCTAGGTACGCTTTGGTTTGAGACGGATTCCTCTTTCCCATGATCACGTGTTGGTTTCCACATTCCAGCACGGAGCTACGGGCACTGCTGTCTTTACGCTCGTAATCGGTGCGAGCGCGTGAGCTTTGGCTGACAGCTGGTGATAGATTTAGTCAGCGATGATCCTGTCTCACGGCTTCCTCTGCAGGTGTACCAGTACTCGACCAGGGGAGACCGGAATGGACGTGACTAGCCGTTGCACACTTGGAGATCCTAACAAACTGCCAGAAGGGGTGCCGCAGCCCGCTCGCATGCCCTACATCTCTGACAAGCACCCTCGACAAACTTTGGAAGTCATCAATCTTCTCCGAAGCACCGGGAGTTGTGCGATGTGGTGCTGGTAGTCGGTGCGAAGAAGATCTACGCCCACAGGGTGATTCTGTCAGCCTGCAGCCCATACTTCCGAGCCATGTTCACTGGGGAGCTGGCAGAGAGTCGTCAGACGGAAGTAGTGATCCGAGACATCGACGAAAGGGCCGTGGAACTGCTGATTGACTTTGCGTACACCTCTCAGATCACTGTGGAAGAGGGAAATGTCCAGACCTTGCTGCCAGCTGCTTGCCTTCTCCAGCTGGCTGAGATCCAGGAGGCCTGCTGCGAGCTCCTTAAGAGACAGTTGGACCCTTCCAATTGCCTGGGCATCCGAGCTTTTGCTGACACTCACTCATGCCGTGAACTGCTGAGGATTGCTGACAAATTCACACAGCATAACTTCCAGGAGTTAAGAAGCTTGTGTACTGGAATCATGGTGTAAAATGTGTGAACATGTCCAGTGAGAGCCTGGGCAACTCTCATTTTCGGCTTCTTTCCAAATCCTGCCTTTACATCTGCTCTGTGCCCT